TAAACGCTGTTTCCGGAATTGAGTTCAGTGCTCGCCGCGAATTCTCCTTTATGTCTGCTAACGATTGAAAACGGGTGCCACGAAGGGGTAATTTGAGTGTGGGAAAAAGAAAGAAGTCGGCTGGAGCCATATCTGGTGAATATGGTGGCTGCTCGATGGTGTTTGTTGAGTGTTTGGACAAAATTTGGAACCATAAAAAAACATTCATTCCCGATACTTTGTTGACTGAATGTAAATAATTACTTTTCGCGTTAATACCCGCGTAATTATATCATGTTTAGATGAAACGCGAAAATTTAAGATTTTGTATATTTAGTTACCTGTATTGTCGTCCATCAATAAATATATTATTGTTCATAGCTCAGTCACTCCAAATAAACTATTAACTTAGTTTAGGAATTATCTATTGATTATTCTACGAACATTTATATTGTAACGAAACTCAATTATGAATGAAAAAAATACTTTAGTTTCATGGAAAATATTTCTGGGTAATTCTGTGAAATGCGGTAAACTTTGTACTGTGAGATTTTTATGTACGTAGTTTGTTTAAGTAGGTAAACTGAGGTATTCGGTTGCATTGTTTATTGTGTAACATAATTATTTATCAGACCTCGAATTTAATTCGAAACTGCATTTGAATATTTTTTTCTGCTGCTTAGTTTTTAATTCAATTGTTTTGGTATTCTTTTAGTTTGTCTGTCTCCTTTTAATATTTTAGACACCCAAAATTATTATTATCTACATCTAAAACAAAGATCATTGCACTGGAGTCAATATCAAATGTACACATAATAACAACACTTATGAAATCAAAGGAAAAAATATCACTGCTATCAATCTCTTTGTATGTAAGGACCAAAAAGGACCAACTTTTCTATATGATGAATTACTGTCATATATCCACGAGAATGTATACAAATAAATTGCTATATATTCTACCCTCAACGATTTCCGACCACAAGGACCGGGGTCATGCCCTGTTGGTACAGAAATGTAGCACTTTGGCACTCCATTGTCCATCAAATGCGAACATTACCAAGATCGCATGTGTTTTCAAGAGAAACCACTTTTTATTATTATTGATCTAATAAATTCGGATTAATTTATAAATAACGTGTGTCGTGGTAATATATTGGTTAACCTGTTTTTCGTTTTAGTGAGATAAGTCAGCAAACACACAGGCGCAATACCTGATGGTAAGCAATCAGCGCCAATCATGGGCACACAACACCAAAATGCGGGATCGGGTTTTTGTGGAATGTTAGGCATTTGAGGATTGGAAGGGGTTTGGAAATAAGATTGGTGAAGAATTTGGCTTTCGACAACCTTCTAATTTGTAGACAGCGGTAATAAGTATGATCACACACCTTAGTGTGGTCATTGGACCATGGTGTAGGTGTTGAATGAAATAAACGTCTTTTGTTTTAATATTCAGGAGCCTTGACTCTTGAATTTAATTATTTACAATCTGTTAAAATAATCTCTTTGAAATGAACTATTTGGCATCGTCGTTAATAAACTTATTTGACCAACAAGCCAGTTATTGGCCGGTGGCTTTAATCTGTCTATATGTGTATTTGGTTGGTACATGTTTGTGATCGAAGATAACGTGTCAACATTACAGAACATGGCAGCTGCGCTTATCTATGACAGCACGGCATCGAGCCCAAACTGACTATATTTAACATTTCTGTGATTAAACTGACTTTAAATAGGACCTGCATTAATTATTTGATTCAAGATTTTTTTGTTTTTGAATGTGTTGAATATGAAATAGGAGATATCTTCTGTTTTAATGTAGCCTATATAAAATAAATTTATGTAAATAAAATCTAACAAATTCATTACTTAAAAAGATTTCACAGCATGTTTTCTGATTTTTAACAATGGAAGACCATAAGAATTTAATTTTAAGCTATTGTGACCTCCTTTCTTCGTGAGTTAAAAAGTAAATTGTCGAGCGTTAATGTTGCCATATAATTTGACAAATTGTTCTGGCTGCTATGATAATGGTGTGTTTTTGATGACCTTCGCGCATTTTCCTCTGGCAACACAGGAAGGCAGGAAACGAAACGGAAAAAGAAAAATATCAGGACAAAGATGTTGATAAGACGAGAAATTGTAATAAATCATTTATGTTTTTTTGTTTTGGCTATACAAATATTATTATAAGGAAGTTTCCCTAATGTAAATATAATTATTGAAATAACAATGAATATAAAACCAGATAAGAATTTAATTGAATTAAGAATAAATTCTTATTTCAATTCTCGAATTGTTTGTCGTCACGAAAATATTTTCAAGCACAAAATATTGTTGATTTAAAATGTGATAACAAGGTGGGAGTTTAATATGCTATGCAACTTTGTTTAACTTTTTTAATAATAAGATTTAACCACAATTTAGAACAATTAGATTATAAATTATAAGTAATATTTTTGTTTAAAACAGTATGTGATTATCCCACGACTTTAAAACAAAAATGCATAATAATACTTTGTACTTGAAATACGTCATTGCGAATATTTTTGACATTTAAAATTTGGAATGGTGTAGATGGTCGACGAGCAAATAATCTAAAGTAAGTAATTTTGGAACTGCGTAAGGTTTACTTTTCTTTGTAACAAAACTTAATACTTAACAATAACAAAAATGTGCCTTGAAATAAAGTATGTACCTAAACTTAACGCTTACCTACTACTATTTCTAGACGTTTCTTTTCCGAAACCTTTAACTTTGAATTATTTTTCAATTTAAACATTGTTTCACCCTTTTGTTAAAGGTATTAATTTTAAAAGATGGTCCTTGTGGATTTCTCTCCTGCTTCTATCGAGTTGGGGTGTTCTTACAAAGAAATTCTAATCCAATCAGATTTTTTATTTAAAAAACATTCGTCTAATATCCGTGCCTTAAACATAGCAAAAGTAAAATACCTAAAAGTACTGTTAGAAGTTTGAACTGAATCACCATTAGCATAAAAATTCTGTTGATCTACAAGTTTATTGATCTCGTCAAACAAAGGTTCTGGCCTTTTCGCCAAGGAACGAATCAGTCTATTAATAAAAGTTGGCATAAAAACAAAAAATAAATATCATATATTGCCAAATAAGTGTCAATTTCGCTATCAAAGGTGATACAGGTAACCATGGGGATCAATTCATGTCAAGTGACGTGACAAGAGCCATACAGGGAGTATTGGAATATTACACCGTGTTGACTATTTCACTTGAAGATATAGGTATAATATTGATAATGTGTCTGTTAAATGTAGGTGTTAGAGAAAATATTGAAATTGATGCGTAACATTTAACCACGACTCTTAACATGTGTGGAAGAGCCATGCTTCTGCGGAAATGAGTCGGCTCGACCGGAGTGATACTGCGGCCTCACAGAAAACCGAAACAACCACAGCGTTGTGTTTCGCCGTGTGAGTGAAGTTACCGGAGGCACAATCTTTCCCCTCCCCAATCCCTAAATCTCCAAAATTCCTAATCCACAAACGGTTGGCAACGCACTCGTAACTCCTCTGTTGTTGCAGGTGTCTATGGGCGGCGCTAATTGCTTACCATCAGGTAATCCGTCTGCTCGTTTGCCAACCTATTACATAAAAAAAACATAACACATCATAGTACTTTTAATTTTTATATTTAAATCTTGAACTGAAGGAAGCATGCTCGGTGTTCATTTTGCAATTTCTAGTTAAACGAAGCACAACGCGTAACTAATCAAACGATGTTCTTTGCTCAGACACGTAGCATTTCTAGTCTCCATTCACACTCTCTCTAACGTTCTATACCTAAACTAGAGGATATCACACGTTTCTATCCAAATAGTCTCGTGAATATCAAACAGAACCCTAAACTTCGTCCGTCCTGACGGCGTGCGAAGACGTTTAATTTAATATTAATCACGAAGGACCACTTTAGGACCAGTAACAGATGGTATAGTGACCTCGCACGTGACAACCACTGCTAACTTAAACTCAAACCTTCGAACTCCTTTGGGCATTCCTGATTGGAATGGAAAACTCCAACCTCAAATAAACGGCTCAATATTTCCACAATCGAGAAAAAGTGTATACAAAGTACTGTATAGGCGAAACGTGTATTTGAAAACTAATGTTTGTGTACCAAAGGACCAGTTTTGATTGGGCCTCAGAATGTTGATGGGAAAATGATATTTTCATAGGAAAAATATTACACTTTTGCAGGAATAGCCTTTTGCATATAGCTATGTATATGGTCGTTTGTTTTTTTTTTGTTTACAAACATAAGTGGTTGAAAGGTGAAAAATAGAATCTATCGTATTTTAATAATATTGTCGAAGTTAATAGCAATGTCAAGGATTATATAGTTAAATGGGTATTTAAAATGGACCATTCGATTTAATAAATTAATAATTGCTGTTTCTCAAAGCAATATCTGCCTCACTGTATGAAGCTAATTTGTTTTGGGATTATTTCAAGTGTCTACTTGAAACTAGCCAATAAATATTATATTAGATTTGGGGATTTTCCATTACTCTAGCAATTTCTAGAAGTCTAGTAAAATCTATTGATTTTTTTATTGCTATTGAATAAATTGCTTAGGTAAGTAATCTTGACTTGCTAGTTTTACTTTGTTATAAGACTAAAATAATACTCGAAGGTTGAAAGACAAACAGACAACCTTATTATATACTAGACTACGTTTATTTGAAATGCTGTAATATATGTCTTAATATTATATGATATTTAAAATTCAATAAGTAGAAAGGTCTAAGGTAAAAATAGGGTGATGATGATAGGGTGATGTAATGAGAAATACTATATTTGTATTGTAGAAGTAAGAGTAGCAATTAAGGATAGACTGAACTTGGGTAGCAACAGTTTGGCGAAGAAAGATACGAAAGATAAGAGAAACTAGTAGGTATATGGTGAAAAGGTATCCAAGTTAAACTAGGTATATATAGCAGAAAAAAAAAGAAGTTTTGAAGTAACAAAAAATTTATTTCTCAAGCTTATAATATTATTTCAAATGCTGCAAATTTATTCATCCTAAAAACGAGATTACAGAGAAAAGTACGTAGATGTACTACTCTTTATGGCCATTAAATTTTATTGCAAATCACTTACGACTCAGTCTAATTTTACCAAACAGTTATGAGTTATATCTTCTTTTGTACTTCTTTGAAGAATCTAAGGAGCGTATTTTTCCAAGAATTTGTTAAGGTCGTCATGATGCTTGTGCTCAGGGTCGTGTTTCTTCACCAGAGCTTCATATTCTGCTGGTAGTTTCTCCTTGATTGCTTTTATAGTCTTCGCAACGAGAACCTTTTGTTTATCTGTGCACTTACCACAAGATGTTGTTGTAGCTTCAGGGATCCATTCTGTGAAATATAAGAATTTATTTAGAAAATGATTGACCTGGGCTTTCTTGCATAGTAACAACTTTTTGATCTTACAACACATAATAACCACGTTGAACGCCGTGGGGGACACCGTGTGGGCCACGCTAGCGGAGGATTTGCCTTCAACAGTTTTCTGTCGGCAGTCAAATGCTCAAGAAGCCAATGAACTTAATTAACGCACATCACACGGTTTTTTACAATAAATTTAGTTTATAAAATTAGTTTATAAGGATCGCAATTTTGAGGAATTCGAAGAAAAACGTTCGTAATAATTCGCAACCAGTTGTTGAAGTATTAAACAATTAAGTAGTAATCTATTAATAAATCATAGCTACGTAGAAATGTCATAAGCAATTACGCTAATACTTCTAAAATCCAAATTATGAAATCTGTGAATTGTATAGGTAATGATTTCCTTTGGGTTTTCGTTGATTAGCAACATCTGTACTATAAATATTCATTTTGTGAATAAGTTATGAAATTTCCTCTTTGGTCGTATTCCCGAAGGCAAATCAACAAATTCCTAGAATTTAAAGAAGATCCTATTTTTTTAGACAAGCCTCGCTTTACGTTCACAATACAGCTGAAATCTTAAATCCAAATGAAGATGGAAAATTATTTTTCCTTCTCGGTAGTGAAAAAAATAAAAAAATGAGATGCGTATATAAACTAAAAAAAAAAAAATCCAGGAAGAAACAAGCAATTTGAAATTAGCGCCCATATTTTCGTTTTCAAAAAACAAAAAGTTTTAATGTTTGTTTGTTTTCTAGATACGTCTTAATGAGGAGTTTTAGAAGCTTGCAGTAATTTAGCGCTATTTAGGAACAATTTTAGATAACAATCTAAACATTAAATTTGTATGACGCAAGCAAATTTGCAAGAAAAAACTTTTAGACACGTTTACAGGCCTTGGCGAGGAGTTGTTTTATCAAATATTTTTTTTTATTTAGATTGAGATTGTAGTGGACACGTATAGAGTGTGATTAAGATTTGTGTAAATGACACACTACTAAAAATGTATCAATAAATTGTGACAAAACGATTTTTGGGATTTTGGGACTAAAATGTTGTTAAAAAACAATGAGATAGATCATGTGAATACATGATTCTTGTTTATCATTCGGTTTTGTGGTTCTATACATCTGAAATTGGTAAAAAACCTACCTGAATTGCCAAAATTATAACTTAGCAATTTTAGTCAACCGTTTCTTAATAACAGAAACTTAATAAAAAATATTTGAAGTACGAGTAGGCCAAATCTTATTTGCGTTTGGCATTCGTTTGTACACAAGAAGTGTCTAAGTATGTAAAAAACTTTTTAATACATTGAACATAAAAAAGTACTCCCGAAGTTCTGGTAGGTTTCCAACTATACTAACTTAATGCTAATAGGAGCGTGTTCCAACTTTGTTTGGGCTGAAACCAAAGGCTGGAGTAGAAACGAGCGTATGTTTTAACAAAAAGTTTTATCTGCACCCCGCATAACAGTGTTGCACTTACTTAAACTGATAAGATAGGGGTGTTGAGTAACACAATCAGTTTCGTAATTGAGTCCAAAATTACGGAATTCAGGAGTGTTGGCAAAAAATATCTATTTCTTTTTTAATTAGTTTTTTTAAAACCATAAGTTTTTTTAATATGAATTCTTGTCTTTAGCGTAAAATTTTAGAACACCGATGTTTTTTTATTTTGCTGAAGTTATGCAAAAATAATGTAGACTTTTTAAGGAACATCGAAAATTCTAACAACGAAAATACTAAGTTTATACTTTTAAATAAAAGCGGCTAGTAAAAGCAACACTGAACTTACTCTTAAAATCGTTTCCTTCGGGAGTGCACTTGCCGTCTTCGAGGAAGCAGTGGGCGTACGATTTCAATAAACGATCGTTTTCAATGAGCTCATCAGCATTGAAATTGTCGTATTTCTTGTCATAGAAACCGTCGTCAGGACGGGCCAGAGCTATCGCCACTAACGCCAAGATGATGACCAGTTTCATGATGATTCTATGAAGGTAAAGAGAAAATATTTGACAACCTGTTCTTATCAGTTTAGTCTAGTATAAATGTGTGGATGAAACTTTAAACTTCGTCCAGAGTCTCAGGAGTCAATAACAAAAGTGAAGAAATATGAATTTAGTTGACTAGTGATTTTAAAAAAACGAGCCTCTCCTGTTTTCACTTTAGTAGACGACACTTAGAGACTTTTCGGATCAAAGGACCACACTTATAATTGACACAAACACTAGACTGCCTTTGTCCTTATGTACTCAAGAAATAATATTTTAAAACAATACAAAGGTGCTTACCGTGATATTGTTATTGGATGAATAATACATTATTTCATTAGCGCAGTCTTTATATACTACAATTTTGAGCTTATCCTTGAATCAACTCTGTACAATTTTATCAATTGACGTCTCTACGGAAAAAATGAATTGTTTTATATTGGGTTTCATAATTTTTAATTTAGCCTCCGTCTTTGTAAAAACCCAGCGTAATAGGTCGCTAATTAGTCAGTAAAAATAAAGTGATATAGATTTTTTAGTTTTGATCATATGGAGCGAAAACTTGAATTACTTAGTGGTTCTGTCACTTAATGTGATCTTCGGTATTTTAAGTTTGACTCCATGAAGGGGAATATAGTAAAATTTGTCTTTTATAAAATTGTCAGAACTCACAAAAGTCTAAAAAACAACATTTGTGTCTAGTAAATGTAAATAATACGACGAAGGAGAACATCGTGAGGAAACCTGGACTTTTCATTTTTAATTATAAATCAGAAATCGACAATACACCTTGAGCAAAAGTGGTGTTTAATGCTTCTAATAAAACCTTTTTCGTCTGAGAAGAGGCCTTTGCGTAGCAGTGGGAACTTTTAGGCTGTTGATGTAATGTATATATTACTTAACTCTTAATGGTTACCATGGTGTACCACGCTTATTAAAAAGTATTAATGGGTTTATCTTGTTTTCTACTAGACAAACCAGGAGTAACAATTTAAACAATTATTACTCCTGGTTTGTCTGCAAAAATATTTGTAATTAGCATTAATTGTTGAGAGGTTTCATAGAAATAATAACATATATAAATGAATTCTTACTATTCATTATTTAAATTACTCATTGTCTATTGCCTATACAAACCAAATATTTAGGAACTTAGGACCAAAAAGACCAGACTTATTGTCACTAATTAAACATACCGCTATTAAAAAAAAAAAAAAACGTTTGCAGAACTCTAAAATATATTTACATTTTGTTTAGACCAAAATTTAAAGTATTATACTTTGAAAACAGAAACAAAACAAAAGAGGTTTATTAATATACTAGGAAACGAAAACAACCATGACATCCATTATACTTATTTCGATGTTCAAACGTCAGAGTGTTTTTGTAAAACTGTATAATGCATTCTTGATTGACAAGATTGTGATCACAAAAAACATTTCTTTTTTTACTGCTGAATAAAAACTCACGCGTAATTAAATTTTAGGAATGGTCTTTGGAGACAACAACAGCCTCACGACTGTTTTTTTCTGTAAGGGTAATCAGAGGTACAATTATGTTTTTAGTGTCATGTAAAAGACTATTCCAAGGCCACTCTGACTCATACATAGACAATGAAATTCAAGAAACAGAATAATTTATTGTAGCTATGTTTTCAACTGTCATCCTTTTAATAAAACGATTACATTATATATATGTTTATAAACTGCCAAACTTGCAAGACAAAATATCGAGCCTCAAATTTGTACGTACCTAAAGACCAAAAAACATATTTGTAATTAAATAGTGTGTTGTCCAATTATGTATTTTATTTATAACATGTTTTAGATTGTGTTGTGTGATTTGGATTAAATTTTTGTCAACTTAGCTTTAATTTTACTTTTTTGTTCAAAATTGATTAATAATTTTAATAACCGCGCATAATATTATAGTGCATGCTGTGCTTCTCTATAAGTAATGGGGCACTTAGAATTAAATTTGAAATGTACAATTTATATAGTATAGTGTACTCATTGTTGAGAAGCCTAATAAATAAATAAATAAAAACGTTACATTGATATCACTTGTTTTGGTAAGCGCAAAATTGTTATTTTTTATTTAATTTTACGAGTTCAGCTTTCTATTTTATAAACAATGAAAAGTTGAAGTGGGAAGGTTTTTTAAATAGAGATTTATGAAATATGTGGAATAAAAAGTTTATTGCGTTACGTTCATAACATTTAGTTCGCTCAGCTTTTTGTTATTTGAAGTGTTGTGTTGAAACAGTGCCGTGAATTTTAACAAAATTCTTGTATGTATATATGTATACATTTTTGTGAATTTAGACCTCCAATTATAAAACAAAAATTGAATAAAAGGTACGATTTGTGTTTTATTTAAAACTTAATTTTTTATATAATATATACAAAGGCGGTCTTAATGCCGAAAGGGCTTCTCTACTTGTAAGCCGTAAGGTGCAATGACACGTGCAACGTGTCGGGGGTTAGATTCCCGCACAGAACACTTTATGTTATCCACGAATTGTTGTTTAGAGTCTGGTTGGCTTGTGTAGGCACGGCACCGGAGAAAATCCTAGTGGTAGTGGGGCAACGTTAGGAAAGAACACACAACAAACAAACACATAAACAATACGCGTATCCCTATCGTATGCACCATATAAAATTATCCATAAAAACTATAATAAAATATGAGACAAGTAGACAACAATAAATGGGTGTGGTATTTTATTTATTTATATGTCGTACACATTTGAATACCAAAAGACTTAATGCTAATATCGTTTTCCTTTATGTAGTGCAGAAATTACTGTGGTAGGAGGTATGCAGCAACTAAACATTAAACAAGTTACGGACTTAGCTTCCACCCGCGGCGTACCTCGAGTGAATTAATAAACATATAACATGTTTGTTAATTCATAAAATAGTACTGCATATATAAAAAACTAAGTTTATATATGTAGACAAATAAATGTAAATATATTATATAAACTTAGTTTTATAAATTCGTTTCTTATCACTTGATCTGACGTTAGTGAGCACTAATTAAAATATTTGAAATTGATTTATGCAATTATGAGTTTCATTTTATCTACAATTATTTTAAACCTTCTCAGTCTAAAAATAAAGATGAAATCACAATATACATAGGTGTTAATACTGCAATTAGGAATATGAATTTAATAATGTGTAAAGAGAAGGAAATCGACCAATTAGATTAAGAATAATTCACATAATCAGGGTAAAAGAGGTCTTTTTTGTCACATGTGTATGATATTAAAATTTTTAATTATTCAGTTTTAAGCATATTTCGCCGCTTCTCATGCATGAGGGTGTGGGTCCCAAACCTGGCAAGTACCAGTAATGTGCCTTTTTTCCAGTTATATGTACTTTCTATAATTATTTAGACACTACTGACATACGGTGAAGGTAAAAATCGTGAGGAAACCTGGACTTACAATTCCTAATTATAAGTTTGACATCGTCAACCCGCATTGAGCAAGCGTGGTGATTAATGACATTTGAATCTACACGTTCCTAAGTACCTAAATAAAACATCAAATGGTTTATTTAACAACTAGCATTAAATTTTTCTTTAACCACTCGGTTTCTTAAAAAAACCGCATCAAAATCCGTTGCGTTGATTTACAGATTTAACCGTATATAGGGAAAAAGGGTCAAAGAAAGCGACTTTATTTTATGCTATGTAGTTTAAATTTTCTTAGGCATACGAGACATTGATAACTATTGCCAATACAGAGATCCTTAGGTCAGTACCTAATAAATACGGATCACGTCACTCCATATACTGAACTTATAATTCCTTATTACTATGTTGTGTATATAACGCAGGGATGAGGTATGTCGTAGGTTACTTGTGCACTGATGACGTATCTAGCTAGTAAACTAAAAGGTCACGGCAAGGCAAAGTGTAACTACGAGATCATAAGACCTACCTATATAAGTTGTCGAAAGACAATACATTATACGATATACCATTTACTAGTATTAGACTATTTTTAATTATTAGCTAAAGGCACCTAAGGCACCACACACACACACACACACACACACACACACACACACAACTACGTAAATGCACATATTTCTAAGCTTGTACACCTCAGACATACGATGAAGAAAAACCATCGTGAGGAAACCTGGACTTATACTTTATAACTATAAGTTTAAGTGAGTAAGAGACCTTTGCTTAGCAGTGAGCATTTATAAGTTAACGATATAAATAGAATTTAAATATTAACATTCTGTTCCCACATGGTCTACGACATTAGTCATCGATTTTTCGACAAATTGAATGTATCCATTTGGGTTTCAATAACTTTAGTTCTCTGTCACATCATTTTTTTCGGATTGGATATTCACATAGTATAAGGATCCCTACAGGGCTGATGTTTAGCCGGGGTTATGAGGTAAGCGCAATGTGGCACCGTGGCCTCGTTCTAAAGTCTCGGTCTCAGCCGGGAGAAGTCATTTGCTGATTTTCCCCTGACAAAAAAGATAGAATAAGGAATTGTTCAAAAGTAAAAGTACAAAATTTTGATATTAACTTACATAGTATCTACATAGGTATATCTACAATAAAAGTTAGAAAATTTGCAAAACTCGATCAGTATTTCAATATAAAATCTACATAAATACAGTGACAGAGAATGCAATATATAGGTACATACGTACATACGAGTACATACATGTCATAAGCACATAATCTAACGTTTCCAAGTTATAAGTCTGCAAAGCTTTTGCAAATTTGATCCTTATGGACCGTGAAATAAACTTATTTTAGCTGAACGTTAACTTCAGGAGTTTCGTGTTAGAACTAAACTAGTTTCACAACTCAATTGTAAGGAAATAGTTTTCTAAAACTTTTATGAAAGAACATCATAACAGGGGATCTTTTATTATACGTTTTTAAATGAAACACCATTACCACAAAGTCAAGTCAATATTAGTGTCACACTGTTTTAGCACAAGAGAACTGATTAAATGATATAAAAAATATATC